AGCTCTAAAAAGCAGCCAGGTGTTTGCAAGGAAGTTTGTTACACACCTGCATGGCCTTGATTCCTCCTTCCCCTTCATTCTTTTAAATCCTCGACGCTGTTTCCAAGGCTTCAGTGTTTGTCTGCTGTGATCGTATAGCGTCTAAGACCCAGCGTCTTGCCTGTGGCTACAGACTGCATCTATTCTCAGGCCAAATCATTCGAGCACATGATCAAACATGAAACAGGCTGGTAGCAGAGTTTATCCCTTTGCTGCTTTAGGGCAATCATTTGTTCCTAACATCAAACAGTGACCTCTGGCCTTTCAGGGAGAAAGGCTCTTGGTTGTGGGTGCATTTTAAACCTAAAACATGAGCATATGCAGTTGTTGCAATTAAGCGCTGCTTCATACAATTACCTGACATAGAAAAGCAATGTTTAAAATAGATTATACAGAAGAAACTTCCCTTTGCACGTTCAGAAAAGAGGTTCGATTAAAGTTATTTGTGTCTGTATGCATGATTGCTTTCAACACTTTGTAAATTATTCGTAGAAAGTTTACTGAATGCTTGCTGGAGTCAGTAAATCTGTTCTTTACTTAGTTCAGTGTGTGACGAAATGAACATTTTTAAGATCCCCAGTAAGAAAAGGGAAGAAAAAAAAACTAAGAGAAATACAGGTGATAATCTAAAATGTCAAAACCTCAAACATATTTTCTAGAGATTAAATATAAAACTATAAACCAAATTACAAAGGAACTTCATTTTCAAAAGGAAATAAATATTGATACTTAATTCACTTCAAAATGTAATGGGTTCCTTGGCCCAATCCTTCACTCTTTCACCAAGTTTCAGGACATTTGGTCAAATTCTTGTAATGCTGCTGAAAAACAAACCACCTTACCGACAAACAAACCTCTTTGGATGAGGTATTATAGGTAAACAGGGACCAATATGATACAATTCAATGTAATTCTGAACTGTACTTTCGTACAAAATAATGAAACTGGGCAAACACACATTATGTACAGTCCCTTGAGAAATGGCATTGAGTAGGAGAGAACAATTGTGAATTTAAATGGCTATTGTAGTGGTATAGCAGCTGTGCAGTGAACAGCTATATGAGCTGATACAAAAGGAATGATGGGTGCACGTTATCCTTGCATGAGTTATGAAATGACCCATCCGTTTCTCTGTTATGACATTCCTGATTATCTTCACATTCCCTGAGATGGCCCCTTGAATGTTTAAATTACCACTTCATTTGTCCCAGAGGACATCTGGTGGACGGGAGGATGGAAAGCATACCAAACCTCCTCTACACAGAATCACAGACGCAACTCTAATTTCCTTTTCAAATTATTTTGATGTATCCCTTGAACTACACCCAAGCCGCTATCTTAAGCACTTGGTTATATTTGCTGTGGATAGTCATGCTCCCCAGAGGATTCACCTTTTTCATTTTGGACACATGTTGAGCTTTTGTCTAGCCCACCATCAAGACAAAATATATATTTCATATACATATCTCACACTTGAGAAACATTTCCGTGAAGTTTGCTTATTCTAGCTCTCAGGAAGATAAACCAGATTCATCTGAATGATTTAATAAGATCCGCCAACAGGAAAAACTGATCTAACTGCAAAACAAACTCAGTATGTTCTTAGTTGTGTTTTACACTTTGTATTATGGGGTAAACTTAAACAATGTATACGTTCATGTTGCAACATGGATATAAATCAAGTTCTGATATAAGCAGACTTAAATGTTTAAGATGACATCTCAACAAAATTGAGTTTTTCAATTTAAGGATTAATTCACAGAAAATTATAAGCCTTTGAGGAGAAAAAAAGAACCTGTCTGCAGCTGCATTTCGTTTCATCTTTTTTCTTTTTCTGTCATCTCTTGTATTCCTCACATCAACATTTTGGTTCACCATCTAGTTGGCAGGCTGTCAAGCTTCCCTCCCTGCTTCTACATTTTTGCATTCCAAATAAATGGCGAGCCTTCCTTTCTCTCTCGCTTTCATAACCCCTTCAAAAAAAAGAAGCAAGAATCCCTCATGTGTGAGGAGGGATCATCCATGCCTGCTCTTCATGAAACAATGCCAGCCTTTCTGCCCTGGCATAAGGGGGAGGGGGGGAGGGAAATAATGAAATAGAGAGATTGAGACTTCTTTGTGTTCAGTGAGAGTTTGTGGACATCCTCCCACAGTCTGAGAGAAGGTAACTAAAGCAGCTTTATTGAACATTACCTAAAGTACCAAAAGTGAGTATTTCCTACATTACATGAGTATTACTTTAACAACCAGTGCAGTGGTTCTCAACTGGTCAGGCCTCGGGACCCACTTTTTTCCTTTGTCAATAATTCGCGACCCGAAATTTTTAACCACTGAAATCTATGCAACCAAAAATGGTGCTTTTCTGCATACAATATTAATTAAAGTGAAGTACAGTGCATATATCCCTTATATCCCAGAACTAAAGTATGCTTTTAAAAAAGGTTTAATGAGAAGATGGTCATCAAGTTTCTAGAATCAAAGCTGACCTGTATAACATAAAAAGGCACACTTGTATTGTACTCAATAAAAAGGTAGACTTGGAGCCAATCCTGCCAATTCACCACACGTGAAAAATGTGACATGCTGAAAACCCAACCCCAGAAGGGGGGTCTGGGGGGATTCCACCCCAGGAGATTTTTAGAAATACTAACATATAACTACGCATTCTGGTACACAGAAGAAAATATATAAATCTATTAGTACCCGACATATTAATAATATTTTATGCCATTGTTTGTTTTTCACTTAGTTCTGACAGCTAAACTTGCTGCTCCTCACAGAGAGAAGAGTAAAGAGGAGATTGTGGGTAAGGGTAGATAGCCCCCATTGTTCTGTGACCTGTCAATCATCAAACCGGGGGTCATATTTCATTATGTGTTCATTTTTATCTGAAGTTGTACCCATGGATGTAGAAAGAATAGTTCTACCGCAAAGTTATTCTCCGTGGGGACTTCCGGCAACAATCTTGATTCTGATTGGCCAGAAGACTCGAAAAAACATCAGCAAATATGTTTTATTGATAAGATGATCGCTACGTGACAGAAGTTTTCAAAACCATTGATGGTCTCCGGTACTTCCAGTCCGACGCCTACTGCATGCACAGCGTTAAGAAAATCGGGCCTTCAAAATATCAATCAATCACTCACACATCTGCGACCCACTCGAAACGGGTCCGCCCACCAGTTGAGAACCACTGCTATAGTGAGTATTACCTAAATTATCTACATCTAGTATTACCTCAAGTACATATACTGAGTATTAGCTAAAGTACCTATAGTATGTTTAACCAAAAGTACCTAAAGTGAGAATGAACTAAATTACCTTTAGTGAGTATCACTTAAGTTCCTATACTGAGTATAACCTAAAGTACCTTTAGTGCTGATTACCTAAATCATCTTCAGCGAGTATTACCTAAAGTATAGCCTTGGGCTCTAATCCATGAAGACTGCTGCCTTAAAGTGACGTCACTTTCCAGCCCCAAATGTAATGTCTTTGTGGTATCATCGATGGTGGTGCTGTCACAGAGACGACCATATCACTTACAAGTTATCTAAAACGCTGATGGAGAAAAACACTTTTACTGGACTGGGCCCTGATCTATATTGTTGATTCCTCCTACAACAAGTTCACTACTCTACACTTCTATTTCTGAGCTTTATTTTATCAAATCCCTTCAGTCATCACTCTCTCTTCCTCTTTTCCTCTTTTCTTCTTCGTCTTCTTCGTCGTCTCTTTTGATCACTGCTTAAACACACACACGCGCACACACACACACATGTCTCTGTTATCGGGGATTTTGGTGCTGCCAGTCAGGAATGTAGGTCTTAGTTTAGTGGAGCAAGCAGCAACAGGTCCTCCTCCTGAATGAGAGCTTATGGAGGATACTGCACCGGTTGCTTATAGACAAAGAGCTGAGATCAAGACAAAGAGACAATCTGTGTTTCATGGCAAGAAGAAGCAGCATTGAAGAAATTGTCCTTCAGTTTTAGAGGTGTCCCGGTTAATCGAGTCCACACTGATTGGAGTGAGTCAGTAGCCAGGAGCAGCTCTTTGCAATGGAGGCTCTGCGAGTGCTGGACAACTGGAGACAGGTAATTATTATATTAAGATACAGCAAAAGACAGGTTAACACAAGACATTTGGTTGAAATATTGCTTTAAACATGAGCTGGGAAGCATTTTTGCGTTAGTTCCCTCTGGCTCAGAAAATAGTTTTGCACAAAAGTGTTTCCAGATAGACATTTTCCCAACATTTGTTTTTTAATTTTTTGTGATTAACTGCTTCCTGAGGCTGACTCCGTTACTGAATATCCTTCCATGGGAATGTCAGAAGAGCAAATAAGATGATATTGCAGCAGTGTGTTGTTATCCTGAGGGCAGAGCACATCAGAAACATATTTTCCATCCTGGCTGCAAAACATTTTAAGGATGCAAATGACTCCGGGTGTACGCTCTGATACACTGTGAATGTGTTTTCTAACCTCTCCATGTGTTTATCTGTGCTTCTTATACCGAATCTGGCCACTTAACACGTGTACGGACATGGAATATATTTATAGCTGTTTGCTCTGTGCTGACTTGATGGAAATGGCCCAAAACGACTGAGTAAGAAGGGAGGAATTTAGGCACAGTGTGTGTTTTTCATAGTGACTGAGAGACAAGAGAACAGCCAAGGTGGCTGATTTCCAGCGAATGTGTCAACTGCCAAGAGATTTAAATGTGTGTGCGTGTTGTACTTCCTCTGAGCGCGTTGCTAAATGCTGTCTACCGTCTGTTGTGTGCGTGAGTGCGCTGCAGCATGAATCACACCTTGACACATTAAGGCAGAGTGGGGAGGGGGAATCCCATTAAGCAGGATTTTGATAGTTACTAACCGTTGTTGTCCTGCAGAGATGAAGTCACCCGTGGACACTTTTGGTTACTCATGGTGTGTCTGATGAATGTTCTCATTTCCTCCCTCAGGACATGCATGTGTCGCAGGGAGCCGGGGACAGCTCAGTGGACATGGACCGGCTGAACAGCAACATGCCCGAGTTTGGAAGGAAAACACACCAGGTGCTAAAGGTGAGTGTGTTTTGGGGATAAGGGTGATGGGAGAGGACATGACAGGAAAGAGTGGGAGTCATATGTTATCTGTCATGGAGGAAAGTAAACACATTTACTTTACTTGTACTTTATTATTGGAGTATTTCTGTTGTGTGATAGTTAAAACTTCCGCTTCCACTGTGCAATATACACTTACTGTATGTGCATTTACGCTTTACTTTCATTGGTTTACTGCTACTTTTTACCATTGTTTACCACAATAAAAAAAAAAAAAAAAAAATTATTTTGTACAGCAGGTCAGGTCAGGTGGTACAGCTGGGTGGGACGCGTCCTGACAGCATATGTCAGGACGCGTCCTGACAGCATATGTCAGGATGTGTAAAGCAGGAATCTTCAGGCAGAGTCAGTAATTAGACAGAACCAGAGATTGGGTGTCGGTATTTCAATCACATTAGGTGTGTGTGTGTGTGTGTGTGTGTGTGTGGTGTGTGTGTGTGTGTGTGTGTGTGTGTGTGTGTGTGTGTGTGTGTGTGTGTGTGTGTGTGTGTGTGTGTGTGTGTGTGTGTGTGTGTGTGTGTGTGTGTGTGTGTGTGTGTGTGTGTGTGTGTGTGTGTGTGTGTGTGTGTGTGTGTGTGTCCTTAGTTCAGCTACAATTGGGGACAAAAGTGTGAACATTTTAGAATAAACACATTTCTGTCTATTGTTGGGCTAGGGTAATTCTCAACAAAATGATAGTAATAATAATACATTGGATTTGTATGGCGCTTTTCCTAATGCTCAAAGACGCTTTACATAAAATCAGAAAAGAAACAGTACAAATAAAAAATGATGTGGTATCTGTGTGTGAGTGTGTGTATGTTCAGTAACTACTTCTATATGTATCGTAGTTATAAGGAATACAAAATGGAAGATAAAACCCTATTAAATGTTATGTTTTCTCTAAAGAAACTGTGAGAATCTGGAATTGTTTTCGTGTCTAAAATCGTATTAAGGCACTATAGAATGATGCAGTGATTTTGGTATACAGCCAAAAGTAAACTCTGTGGCAAACCCACATCATGATACTTATCATTTTTTGTTCAGCAGGATAATCTCCACATATTAACAACACGTTGTAAAAATGTTCCGATCGGATGCAATTGGTATATGTAAAAAGCTATCGTTAGGCTATAAACAAACTTTAAACATCACAGTCGCATGGCTGCGCATCACCAATGCTAAGCTAAAGGCAGAGTTTTGTATGTGTGATGACATTTAGTAGTTTATTTAGTCACTCTCGTAAACTTGTGTTAACCACAAACCTTATTTCATGGATTAAATCAGACATTCAAAAAGATTTGATTTTGACACTAGGGAATTGGAAGTGGTGATATGCTAAGTCTTTTACGGGTTTAACGACTTCTTCCTGCACCACTCCAAAAGTGCCATTTCCTTAAAAAAAATCAATATATATATATATATATATATTCACTCACCGGCCATATCATTAGGTACACCTGTTCAACTGCTCTTGAAAAAAATGGGAAAATATCCAGTCAGTGGCAGTCCTCTGGGCCAAAATGCCTTGTTGTGGCCAGAGGTCAGAGGAGAATGGCCAGACTGGTTCAAGATGATAGAAAGGCAATGATATCATCTCCAACTGGTTTCTTGAACATGACAATGAGTTCACTGAACTCAAATGGCCTCCACAGTCACCAGATATAAATCCAATAGAGCACCTTTGGGATGTGGTGGAACCAGAGATTGACATGCAGCCGACAAATCTGCAGCAACTGCGTGACGCTATCATGTCAATATGGACCAAAGTCTCGGAGGAATGTTTCCAGCACCTTGTTGAGTCTATGCCACGAAGAATGAAAGCAGTTCTGAAGGCAGGGGTCTGAAAAAGGTATTATTTGTCCTGTCTTTAACACTTAGGATTTTAGCGACTAGAGACGAGTCTTGTTGACAAGGACTACGTTTTTTCCAATTTGTATTGAAAATACTCAAGCCAGACAGATTCAAGATCCAATAACTTTATTATTAATATACATGCATGAACAGTGCTATACAAATAAAGTTATTATTATTATTTAGTTCATTTATTTGTATATTAGCTGTTTCAGACTCAAATATATTGTTTTTAAAACTTTACGCATACTTAAAGAATTTACACTATAAGAATAAATAAGGCATGACAACATAAGTGATGCAAAATAAGTTATAATAGATAAAGTAACAAAAAACACAGATACAATCAGTCTAGTGAAGGTGCATGGAATTGACTTGTAAGTTAATGTTAGAAAATGTAAAATAAAGTAAAAACTGACAATAACACAGATTATGTTACCTAGTGGGAAAAAAGTGTTGATGACACTTAATCAAATACAATATGATCTAAGAAGGATTGACGTTGCATGCACTCATTACACTATGATGCTCTGCATGTATCAGGTTGTTGCAGTGTGCTCCACATGGGAGCAGCAGCACACAGAGAATGAGGTTGAAGGAGTCCTGCAGTGTTGGCTATCTGGCCCCGCCCCCCTGCTGCCATCACTCCCAGTAAAGCCCCCCCCACTGCCTCCCAGTCTCTATCTCAGCAATCCTCTTAGGCTTGACCCCACTTCACAGACGGCAACAGCACAATCACATAATCCTATTAGCACACACAGCTAGCCAGCCAGCCGAGAGCCGAGTCAATGATCGCGTACAGGTTGTAAATAAGACATGTGTAAGGGACAAAAAAACGCTGTTGCAGCAGGTTTTAAAATGTAAATCCACGGCGCCCATCAGAGTTCATTTAACACTTCACCTGGCACGGAGCTGACCTTAGCCGTGAATGCTAAATGATCAGCAGTCACTGTTTCACACAGCATGTCAAATTCTAGTCATGCTGAATTATAAAGGATGCTAAATCATCTGTTAAATTGTGAAGCAAAACGTGTCCACCGTGGGGGTTCCTGTGAGTCGGATGCTTCTACATTTTGATGTACAGGATTTTTATTGAAATATACTGCTATTTCGATATGATTTGGATAAAACACTACATAAAGCAATACTTAAGTAACACAACAAATCATTATGTCCAATGTGTGATCTTAAAACACATGTGTGACGGATTGGTTTAAAAGTTAGAGGGTTTCATTTGAAGAAAGAAGGAATATAGCGAATAGATCCAAGTATTAACGAGGCCCTATTCCGCCTTTTTTGGGTGACCCTTTCCTGCATTGGACCACACAATCCCCCCCGCTGCCTGAAACGCCTCCATTGGACTCCTTTGTTTACTTTAGTAACATAGTGACATCACTATGTAACACACCCACTTCTATTGGCTAATACTCCAACACATTTGACAAGATTAGGGGCGGGACAGCTCTTAGCTGTCAAAACAGAGCCAGCCAGCTAACCAATCAGAGCAGGCTGGGATCTGGTTTCAGACAGAGGGGGAAAAGAGGTGCTGCAGCCCAGGCAGTATGAGAAAAGGGATAAGACAAGCGCTAAAGGGATAATCATTCCAAAGGAAGTCCTGGTGTATATTTCATTCTTTTTCACCATGTTCTATCTTTGGAATAATTGATGTTACACAACAGGAGATGTAATGTATTATTTTAAACCCTGGGAGGCAAAGAGAAAGAGTCATTTAACACTAAGCAGATGTCTGAAAAGCAGAATAGTCTTTATGTCGAGGCGTCGCTGCGGTGAAAACTGCTCTTCACAAGTTTATCTCGTCGAGCACCCTCCAGGAGCTCCATGTTTCTTAATTGCAGACTGCTGTTGCTATGGCGACATCCCTTCCCCCTTGCTGTGCCGAGAGCACGCAGCGGCGCTTTAGGCTTTAAGGGGTAGACGACACACACATACACACACTTCCTCTCAGTGTGTAGTAAGATATGTTAACGGTCTATGGAAAGGACCTCCTATTGCGAAAAACATAAGTGAAGCAGGAAAGCTGCAGCGTGTGCAGGAATATGAGTGGTATCTCCTCAGTGCCACATATTCACTATGTTTGTGTCATGCACAACTCATTCATTCAGCTAACGGAGAGGAAACACTACTGGTCAGGTCCATGGTGTTCAGTTGTGGGGAAATAGAGAAAAAAAAGTGACCTCTTTACTTTCGAGGTGTAGATTACATGCAGTATGTCGTAATGTATTAAATGTCATCAGGATTACGTTGCGTATCATATCACAAAGACGTTTTTTAATCAGTACAGATTGCATTGGAAAAAGTGCAAATAAAGTCACATTTCCAAAGATAACTTTTTTAATTACAGTATGGCCTTTATTTAAGACACATAAATGAAATACAAATAATGTAATATTATAACGACTCTCTTTAAGAACCCCCAAAATCACACCCTGTTTTTTACAGGTATATTGCATATTTCATTTTGTTATCTTGGCAAAAGAAATTGAATGGATGAAAAGATGGATAGCTGAGGTCTATGGGGTTGTTTGTTTGTTTGTTTGACTTTTTCCTTTTTATTCTCACTTTTTAGTATGTTTGCGTTATATCTTGTTGCATGTATCGTACATTTCCCCTAATAATAAAGGTATTCTGATTCTGATGTATGCATGGTTTATGTACAGTAAGCGCATAGCTGCATTTGTAAAATGTTATGAGTAAACATGCATTTCTATTTGTAAGATGAACAATCATGTATATATATATACTGTATATATCTATTTTCTAATATCAATGTAAAATCGGCTTCTGTTCTGTTGTTTATTGTGAGCTCAACTCAACAAAGGAAAAAAGCGTCCAATGATCATGCTGAACGACGGTACATTCAAACCTAACCAAGAACCAAAATAAAGGCAATAATAATTTACACTGTATTTGTGACCTTTTTTCTCCTCTTCAGAGCACTCCTCTGGATTTCCTTGAGACGGGGAAGGGTCTGAAGTTCCAGGCAGAGCGCCCCCACCTGGTGAGCCTGGGCAGCGGACGTCTGAGCACCGCCATCACCCTGCTGCCCCTGCCCGAGGGTGAGACCCCGCTGTGACACCCACACTTAGCTTAGCTTCACAGAATCACACAGATGCTACTGATGTCTTTGTCACGATATATCACGATATATCAGGATGCACAATTACATTGACTTAATTCATAATATTACATACAAACTCAAGTTTCTCAGAAAGTGTATTGCGATATGTTTTGAGGTAATATCAATTCAAGATCGTAATTTAGTTTTTGTGAGATGACCTATATCAGGGTGAAAGATGCCATATCGCCCAGGGCTAAGTCATAACATTGCAGTATAACATGAATTTGAACAATGGTCCACAAAGACACACACGCACGCACGCCATACGCACACACACACACACACACACACACACACACACACACACACACACACACACACACACACACACACACACACACACACACACACACACACACACACACACACACACACACACACACACACACACACACACACACACACACACACACACACACACACACACTACTATCTCTGGTGACCTGACCCTGTTATCACCTCTCTATCTCTCTCTCGTCCTTGTCGGCCTCTTTGTGTTTCTGTCTGGTGACCTCTTAGCTCTTTCTTTGATGCCCTGTCTGTCTGTCAAACCGTCTGAACATTTAGAAAAAAGCACAAGGGAAGACATTAGGAGAGCACTCCTGACACCACAATATAGACAGAGAGATATCCCTGGCTTAAGCAACATTTTGTGGACATTCAAGCAAGGGCTTCAATATAAAGGATTTTCATTTATATTTAAAAGTCCAGTACGCCAGCTTTTGTTATATAAAACGAACTGTTGCAAACTGTATTTTATTGCACTCTCAGGTGGAACCTTTAGGCAATTGTTCAGGTGTCATTCATCTTTTAATTTGTGGGTCTATAAACATCTATTTCTGTCCGTCTGTCCGTCTGTTGGCCTTCCTGCCTGTCTGTGCCTCTGCAGGCTGGTATGCAGGGAGATTCCACAGATTATGTCCAGGCAAGGATAGTGTGTGTGAGTCAGTGTGTGTGTGTGTGTCTGTGTGTCTGTGTCTGTGTCTGTGCAAAGGTGTATTTGCGTGTTACGCTTGCCTTTGACATTTTATTAGCTTAGCCTTTGAGGGCATTAGCGAAACTATTGTTTCTAGGTATGGGGGGCTGTCCCTCTTTCTTTTATAAACTCTCTGATTATTGTCCAGCCACAAAGATACACATCTTGATAACTCTTGTGAGTCAGATACTACTTTAGCCTCTTAAAGGTAGGGTAGGTAATTCACTTCAGAAACACTTTTTGTTATATTCCATGGAATGCTCTTAACATCCCGATAGCAATGAATACATGAAATGCTTTGACAATAAATATATACAAATATTTCATCTGTGGGAGCCGTGGCGCTGTAAAAAGCAAGTCCAATCATCTGCCTCGGCCCGCGGCAGATAACTGGATGGCCTACCTGCCTGTCAGCCTTCCATCTCGTGCACAAACTTATCTCGTGCCCTCATTGGTCATGTGTGCGTTTGTGTGTGTTGTTGTCTGTAAGGAAGTCTGAAGGAAGGGGCAGATTTTTTCCGGTTGTGTACTTTCAAATTCTAGTGCACTCGAGCTGGTTTCTCCATCCTTACTTTTCAGCCTTATTATGCCCTGGGTTTCGACTCTTAGGTTACAGACAGGCAGACCTTAGTTGTTGGTGGAGGTTGTTGAATTCAGCCAGAATAAGTACCTGCCTAAATGTAATCAGTTAAAGCTAAATTCCATATAATTACTGGTTATAGTGGTCATCATTTGATCTCAAAATATGGATTTGGATTATGAACACTTTGGCCTGTCATATCAAATATCACTAATTTTACATATTTATTTCCAAGTTAGAATTTTGTATTCCTTTTATTTTAATGTATTCTATGATGTAAGTAGGTGCATGTGTAGGGAGGAAGGATAAAGGTTTGGATATGCTCCGGTTTGTTTAATATTTTGTATGGTACTCAATGTTTAAAGACTGAGAAAATCAATGAAAAGACTTTAAAAAAATCCTTTGATATATACATATATCTTAACAGGTAATATTGGTTTATCAATATCCTCTTTCTTCCCCAGGCCGGACCACAATGGGTCATGGTCCCATGGACATCAACCTGCAGGGCCCCGGAGTGGCTGCCCAGCACTGCTACATCGAGAACAGGTCGGGGGTCATCACGCTGCACCCCTGTGGGAACCTCTGTGCCATCGACGGGCTCCAGGTCACTCAGCCCGTCCGCCTGTCGCAAGGTAGGAATCAGCCCAAACATCTGTATTATATAACTCAGTGTGCTGGAGGCTTCCTGTTGCTGCATTCAGAGAGCACTGTGAGCAGGGTTGGGAATAACGGATAACATGTGACAAGATTTTGTAATCAGGGTAAAAAATAAGGCTAACTGTAATCCATTACAGTTACATAAAAAAAGAACGTATTTAGATTACAAAACAATTTAAGTACGATATATATTATGAAACACATACACACTAAAAACGTCAAGACCGAGTGAAATGAGTCTCAACGAAACCATAGCTAATCTGCAATTTATCTCGACCATCATGTTTTATTTTAAAAGGAGAAAAGGGAAACAAAAATAGTCTTCAGTACCAAGCAGTACTTCGAGATGTTAATACACTGTCATTATCCAAAGAGTGGACATATCATTTGAAGAAAGATTTGGAGGTAAATGCGTTATAAATAATACTATTTTGTTGTCAATGGCATACTGCCTGAACTTGCTTTTCGATTGTCATTTAGGCAATTTGTTGGTGTAGTGGGTGGACACCTGACTTGTAAAATATTCTGTATGCTTCATATGTTTGATTTTTCTTTTCTATTTATTGGCACTGCATTTGATATTGAGGCAATCCAAACGGGAATAAATCAGGTTACTTTACTTTTATATTGTGATGCTAAGATTAGGTTACTCATTACAAAATAATTCCAGGTAGTAAGTCATTATTATTTTAATTCTTTTTAAGATTTTGGGGCAACCAGTGCCCTTGTTGTAGAGACAGAGTTGAATGACAGAGGGGATGACATGCAGCAAATGGTCCCAGACCGGATTCAAACCCCGGTCTTCTACTTGGGGACCAAGACCCAAAACATGGGCCACCATCTCTACCAATCGACCTATACAGTTGCCCTGTAATACATTTTCAAAGTTATCTTCCCAACCCTGAGTGAGTCAGCAATCAGATCATATTTTTACCTTATTTTGACGTTGCTTCTCCTTGGTATGGATTTTTTAATTTTCTCCACTGTAGATGAAACATTAGAGGAAACCAATGACCAGACGTAAATGATGTGTGTTTTTACTGAAGAGTATGATCTCAGTAAGAAATCAATCCATCGGCTCTCTGCCTCAATGGAAACACAGAGTACCATTCAGCAGCTCTCATCAGTAAAAAGCACAGTCTGGGCTTTTAAATAGCCTTCGATTCAGAAGAGCCTGAGGTTCCTGTGTTAACGAGTTAACAGAGAGGACCTGTGCATGCAGATATTGAAGAAACCAGAAAGCAAGAGAGGAATTGATTTTCTATCTGCTTCATACTGGGTGGATCTTTGGGCGCTGCGGAGAATTTTACAAAAGTGATTTCCCTGGGATTGGCTTTCTAAAGGTACAGGATTGCTTTTAAATGAAAGTAGGAAAGCGAGGGCAGAGGTTAACTGGACGCCTCTACCACTGAAACCCACTGAGTGAAAGTCACTATGTAACTGCAAAGGTCTCGTTGAGTATGGAACTTAGAAAAAGAGGTGTACAGATATTCAATCAAATCTCTGAAGGGAAGGTTCAGGAAATATACTGGAATGTTAGGGAATTCACCAAATGTAAAATGTATTAAATTGGTTATTACTCATTGCATTAAGCGCTGTTTTTTAGATGAGCAGTGATAGAACTGCATAGCTGCACACTTTGAGAAGTTACAGGAAATATACTTTCTGGCTTTGATTCCTAACAATTTACTCACTGATCTTGAGACATAGCACCAACTTCAAGGAAAACTTAACTTACAAAGCCATCAGTTGTAGATTCATTATTAACCCTGTGTCACGTTGAATTCTTCAAGATAGCTTTGATCTTCTCACATTCCCTCCATAGTACACAAAGAATCCAAAAGCAGAGAAAGGTGTTGATGAATTGAAGTAAATGGGGGGGCTTGTTATAAACTATATCAAAACATCATTTTTAAAAACTGTCAAACAACTACAATGAAGATGGACCAAGTCTAATATATTCAGTCGTATTCTCAGAACCTCACAAAAACATGCATTGTTAGTTAACCGGTAGTAAAGAAAACGCTTTAGCAATGTATTGCAAAGTGCATATACAGTATGAGGCTTCAACTGTCTGAGCAGACTTTTGTTCCAAAATGTCTTTTTAGTATGAAATACATACGTGGAGCATTGGGAGACATCCACTGTATTTGTCTAACTCTAACAGTTAAAGCCTGATATTAACTTTGGTTAAACAGAACTCTAAATTGTATCTCCATCACTTTCATTGATTGATTGCACATTCGTTCTTCCACTTATGTTATACAAATATATATATATATTTATAATAACTGTCACAAAAGGTTATTTCCCTCTGGGATTTATAAAGTATTTTGATTGATTGATTGATTGATTGATTGATTGATTGATTGATTGGTTGGTTGGTTGACATTGAATTGGAATTGTAACTATCATCAAGCCTGTTTTACTGTTTATATGAACAGCTGAATATTGTTTCTACGACAGAATTAAAAACTGTTAACTCGTCCTTTCCAGAAAGTATGGTTTGGCATATGCTTTTTCTCCAATATATAACACTGAACTCCCCGCACAGATTTCCTAATATACCAACACCTAAACTTATCGTATGAGACAAACACTATAAATGTTGTACTTGAGTAGGTTGACTTACAAGCATGTACATCATAATTCTCAACGGAGTTCCTAAAAAATCTATGAGGAAGTGAAACTGTGAACTACGTAACTGTTGATTAAGTCATAGAAATACATGGAAGTTTACCTCGGTAAGTTATGAGAATGAGGTGAAGGGACACTACTCATCATTACTCACAGGATGTGTTCTTTCCACATATTATTTCTCATTTCACACTTCTTTTCCATGTTTCCGTCATTTCTTTAATCAACTGATGTGACTGTTATTCATTCCCATAAATTCCTTCTAAGTCTAAGTCAGCGGTTTTCAAAGTGTGAGGCGCGCCTCCCTGGGGGGATTATTAACACACGCAGTTGCGTATTTGGCTCAAAAAGCGTGGGATGTTGGTTATTTTCTCCATCTAGGATGACACCAAAAGCCTCCCAGACGTTGGATTTCGCTCTTGAGGAAGAGTTATTTACACTGATGTTTTCTCCGCTAGAGAGCTTCACCTCAGCCATTTCAAATGTGGCGCGCTCAGCAGCAGACTGATGCGGTGCAGAGGTTATGATTATGCGCGGTCCCACGGGGGAGAGGTCTGAGAAATCTTTAAACATTAAAGGGGACCTATAATGCAAAATGCACTTTTGTACGTCTTTTATACATGAATATGTGTCCCCGGTGTTCCAGGGAACTCACCAAGTGTCAGAAAACACAACCCTCTCTATTTTCCTCCATACCCAAATCTCTAAAAAAGGGGCTGCAACGGATCTGATACAGACTGATCCAGATTTGAACACTTCTATGTCGTCACAGAAGTGGCGCTACGGCTATTGGGCCAACTCTCCACCTATCAGGGGAATGTGGGGTTGGGCCACGGCCGGCCATTGCCGCTCGAAAGCACTGGAGACGCTGTAGTACATATGCCAGGCCTGTAAGTGGCGCTGTAGTCTGCCACAAAAGCAGCGAAGAAGACTTCCCGCCCATAGTTACCATGGTTACCCTTCTGTTTATTCTCCGCTGTGGCTTTCTTTCTCCCTCCCCGAGGCAAGCGTTTGCTCACGCTGCTTTAATTCAATGCAATCCCTCCCCGTCGAGGCAAGCACAGTAATTCTCTCCGGTTAGTCCAACACCCACCTCTCCGCCTCTTCCAAGGAACGAGAGGACCGTGCGGCAGAGTTTCAGTTTCAGTTTCTTTCGCCGGTCAAGATTTCCGTTAAAGTTTAAATCTTCCAGACAAAATTAGAAAAGTGCCGGTCAAAGGTCTTCTTTGTTATTTATTGAGCTTTAAAACAAATGAATAACGACTCTATATAATAAAACACGGAGGACGGAGATCTCTTTTTCTCCCCCTCTTCTGACAGCCCAGCAGCTGATCAGAGCACGGCTCCCCTCTCCTGCAGGGGGGCGTGGTCAGCTGAATCAGACCCGTAGACAGCAAACAGCACATAGAGCGAAATGAGGCATGGCTAAAATGCATGATCTGTTTGGTATTTTGAAAACAGAAACGTATAAATATACCTTATATAGGTATGGCCCTACAATATATCATTTACATATAGCATGATAGGTCCACTTTAAATTAAATTATTATTATTTAAATATATTTATTATGCAACACCCGCGACCCGACCCGCATCTTCTTTGTTTTACTCAGAACCGAACCCGGAAAAAAATGTTTGAAAAAATACCACCCGCGAATCACTTTTTTTGCGGGTCACCCATCGGGTACCCGACCCGATGCAGGACTCTGATCCCCGCATCATCCGCCTGTGCGCATCAAAGACGCAGATTCATCGTTCCCACTAAAGTAGGGGTGAGTGTAATGAGGAGGCAAAGTTGACGTTCAGTGTGTTGCCGGGAGCATATAAGGATTTATCCACGATGTTGAAAATGTAAAAAAATGTTAGAACATAAAGATAAAAAGGTTTAATGTTTTAAGGAGGTGACGCTACTCAGCCAATCAAATCGGTGCAGTCAGTGAGCAATTTCAAATGATGTGCTCAAAAAAGAGAAAGATAGACAGCAAAAACAGCATTTAATGACATTTTCTCTTATTGGACCTCTTTAAAATGCAACTGAATACCCCTGCATTATAGCAACAACAACAACAATAATAATAATGATAATAATAATAATAATAGCAGTAATAATTGGGAGGGGAGGGGGGGCGCGGCTGTTCTTATGTTCTCTGAGGGGAGGCTCACCTTCCCACACTTTGAAAACCCCTGATCTAAGTAATTACATTTTATTTAGCTGATATCTTTATCCAAAGCAACTTACAAGTGCTTTAAATCATAAAGATACAAAACTCAGGTTTGACTGACCAAGGTACAAACAAAACAGAAGATGGCAAATGTGTATACTTTCTGATTAACTTGA